AGCGATTCCAGGAGGCCTGGGGCAGAGCACCTCTGCCTCGGGCTTCCTGTAGTCAGCGCTGGTCAGTTTCAGCAGCGGCTGACTTGGGGACGCCTGGGGTTCTTAAGTTGAATCTGTATGTAAGAACTGGCGTCCAGATTCAGAGTGTTGAAACTGATCAGCGGCTGATTCCAGGAAGCCCTGGGCAGAGCAACTCTGCCTCAGGCTTCCTGTAGTCAGTGCTGGTCAGTTTCAGCAGCGGCTGGATCTGGATGGCAGTTCCGACTTACATACAGATTCAACTTAAGAACAAACCTACAGTCCCTATCTTGTACGTAACCCGGGGACTGCCTGTATCTGCTCTTTGTTTAGAGAAAGTAGTTAACGTAAGCTGACCTGAGCTGGGCAGAGCAACTCTGCCTCAGGCTTCCTGTAGTCAGTGCTGGTCAGTTTCAGCAGCGGCTGGATCTGGATGGCAGTTCCGACTTACATACAGATTCAACTTAAGAACAAACCTACAGTCCCTATCTTGTACGTAACCCGGGGACTGCCTGTATCTGCTCTTTGTTTAGAGAAAGTAGTTAACGTAAGCTGACCTGAGGTTTATGCTAGGGATGTTAAATATCGGTTAATTGAATAGTCGAGTAACCTCAAGTATTTGTATCGGTTAGTCAACTATTCTGTAGTCCCTCGGTACGGGGCTGGCAACCAGTGCACTCTCGCCTCACTCCCGAGGAGCCCCCTGCCACTCTGCACTGCTGCCTTTGAATCAGAGGCAGCAGTGCAGGGTGCCAGGTGGGAGCTGGTCTGTAAGAGGAGCCAGTTTAAAAACCAGCTCCCCTCACGGACCAGCTGCCTGTCATCCTGTATTGTTGCCTCTGATACCGAGGCAGCAGCACGGGATGGCAGCTGCCCCTGTCTAGGGTGGGTCTGAGCTCCTGGACCTATCGCAAGCCAGAATCGAGCCAGGCTGCCTGCCTGCCTGGCTCTAATACACTTAAATGCAGAGCTGCAGCAGGGGTAGGTCACGGACCCGTTTCAAGACAGGACTAAGCCAGGTTGCTGGCCAGCCTGCTAAAAGATTTACTGGCAATTGGGGGTGAGGTGGGAGAGGAATGTGTGTAGTCTATAGCATTAACCTATAAGCTTTTGCTTATCGGTTAATCGACTATACTATTACATCCCTAGTTAATGCTAATCTTTGGAATTCTAAAATAAATAACAGGGATGTGCCTGGACACACCAAATGCCATTATATACTTTAGTGCAATAAGTGAAATCCTGGCCCCAGTGAAGTCGAAGATTTTATCCAATAAAACCTAAGCGGGAATCCATAACATATTATAATGTACTAGATAATCAGGAAAGACAAAAAATAAACCAGTTTTCCTAATTTTGTTAAAATAACAGTCTCAATAGTATACACTTCTTTAGCAGCTCTCCTGGAAGGAGAGCAAGATTGGGGGAGTGACTTCTGTAGAAAAGGGCCATTCACAGAGAATGCCCTGCCAGCGTTCCCGACCTTTCCCACGGAGGGGATCTAGCTCAACCTGAGTTGTGGCCGTATGGCATGAGGAGAGATGACATGTGGAATAGGTGATGCTTTGTGACTGCATTTTTCTTCATATACTACTTCCGAGGGCATTGTGTGCCAAAAAATTTAAAATTCTGCACACAATATTTTAAAATTCTGCTAATTTTATTTGTAAAATAAATGTGACTGCTCCAGCCATGCTATGGGGGAAGTACAGGCCACTGACTGCTCAGAGGTAGGTGCAGCTTGTTTGTAGGACATGGCATAGAAGTGAGGCTGCACCCAAGCCCAACAATGACCCGGGACTAAGCTTTGCTCCAGAGCCCTACCCCTTCATGTTAAGTGCATCAGGTGTGGGCAGGCAGGTTCAGTCGGCAGCGGTTTAGTGTGGAGAGGATGCAGGTATAGGCTGAGAGGGTTCTGTGTGGTGCAGTCTGGGTGTGAAAGGTGATCTTGATGCATAGGGGCTTGATGCAGTGTTTTGGGTGCAATGGTAATGGGACTGTGCAGGAGGTCTAGGTGGGGCTTGGGACTCAGTGGAGAAGGGACTATGTGTGTGTGGCGGGGGGGGATCAAGCTTGGCAGTGAGGGTCTGGATGTGGGGAATCTAGTCAGAGGTTTCAGATGCTGAGGAAGGCAGGCTTGGGGGCAGAGACTGTGGACACAGTAGAGGCAAGGAGGCTGCCTGGCTTGTCTTGGCTAGGAGGATGTGGGGAAAAGGAAGAGAGTTGTATGAGAAGATGAAATCTGCTTGGAGAAGGGGTGAGAAGGATGTCTGATTTTGAAGAGTAAGGAGAGTTTGAATGGGAGAAGGATGTTGGCTGGAAGGCCGAGAGAGTGAGTCCCATTCCTTCTGTGGGTTTCTCTAGCCTCTCTGTTCATAAGCCTGTACATCTGTTCGTCTCATCCAGTTTTCTGCACTGTCAATACATACCTATTCATGAGGGGCAGTGCCCCAAGCTACTATTTGCTGGCTAGGCCTCTATTCTTGAAACTGTTCCAATTTACATGGATCCTTATATAATAAACTTTCATTAAAGAAAATGGTGTCTTTGTTACATGTTTGTAAAACATTAATAAGAGAAGTCTGAATTTGATACACACATAATAAAAAGTAGATTCCACTTTAGAGTCAAAATATCTGGTAAGGTCTTGCAGAGCTTACAACCTAAATCCATTATCCCTTCCCCTTGTTAATTTAATGATATGCCATATATGTTTGATGTTCCTACCACAGTAGACGCATCATTAACCTTGGTCCAGTGATGTTGATTCCAGAAGAGCAGCCAGCTCAGCCTGCCTTGCCAGTTCAGCCAGAAGGTACTCGGGTGGTGTGTGGACACTGTGGAAATACATTCCTGGTAAGTGCTGATGGTGTCAAATTTGGTGTACACTTAGATTGTGATTCCCAGCACAGATAGATGTCTGCACTAGCTCAAGCAAATGTCCTAAAAATAGCAATGCAGCATGGGTAGCAGCTGAGGGCTAGTTGCCTAGGTATGCATCCTGACCCCCAGGGCCTGTACTCAGACATATAGCCTTCACTGCTGCCTGTGCAATCCCGGCTATGCAGCATGTTATGTTTGTTAGATGGCAGTAGCACCCTAGTTCCGAATGTAGATGTAGTTGAAGGGCTAAATGCTAATCTGTTACATCAGTGCAATACCACTCAAATCAAAGGAATTCCTTTGGCAAGCCTATCCTGGTACTGAATTGATATGGAACCACAAGACTTTGTGAGTTGATTGTTAAGACAGGTATCCCTTGGATATGTAGTTTGTATCTGGGTATTTTCTTAAGCTTCTTCAAGAATTATCTCCCTTTCTCCTGCCTCCCCCCGTGTCTTTACCATCTAGGAAAGGGTCAGGTCCATATTCAGTATATTATTGATGGGAAAACTATTGTTAAAGGAGCTGTTGTACAATCCAGTGCAGTTATAGTCTTCAATAGGTAAATTTAAACAATTGTTTCTATTATAGTTCACTTTTCAGATGCTCATAACTTTCTGAAACTTTCACTTCTGGATAACCTTCTCCATGATTGGGCTCCAGTTTTGCAAAACATAAGCACTTCCATAATTATCAGTTTGGTAGTCCTTTCTAAGCTATAGACTCATATAAATCTATTATGATTGGAGCTCTAGTTTGAGGCCAAAGGTATATATTCGTTTGAATATTAGAGCAAAAAGTTTGGGTTGTTTTAGAATAGGAGGATTTGGAAAAGTATTTGTTTCCTACTGTAAAAACATTTTGCAACCATTTGAGGACTAGTTCTGTTTTCATAATGGTTGAGGTTTGAATGTTGAAAATTTACTATAGAAATTGTCCTTGTAAAGATGTAATGCATAGACTTACTCTGAAGGAAATTAGCTCTGATTTCTTCAGCATCTTATTGTTTGAATATGCATTGTAGACATTTGTTGCAAAGTGCATTAGTTATGCCCCCATAAAAATGGCCCACACAGGCATGTGAACTTGAACTATTTTCATAATCAACTGACGAATGTCACCTTACTCAAGCAAGGGCTTTATTCAGCCTTGTAAGGTCTGTAAGAGCAACTTATCAAGATAAACTTATTGATATCTTTAGTTAAATGTAAAGGGGTTGAAATAAGGGCTGTATCTTGCCTTGTAATGGGTGCAAGAAAGGGGCTTCCTTGCTATATTTTTGTGGGGTACCTTTACAGATTAATTGAAGTATACTCTAAACATCTTAAATAGGGTTGTAATTTAAATGTGAGTTTGTGAGGTGTTCTCTAGGCTTTAAGGGGAGCCGGGAGCCAGGCCATGAATTTACATATGCTATTTGCAGGATTTTTTGCAGTGTTAAAGTTGTCAGACATTCCTCCTATTGACTCTTGTTTTTTTGCATTTTTTTAATAAATAAATAAAAATCATGCCAACTTCACTTTCCCCCTCAAAAAAAAAAAAAAAAAATTCCAGTGTTTAGGTTTCTTGGTTAAGCATTTAGAAATTAGTATATATCAGTTTGTATGCACAACCTGAACTCTAACTGCTTCCTTGTTATTACAGAAACAACAGTATTTCTTAAATAATAGGATATTGCTTTTAAAAAAATCTCCAAACTTCACAATCAAATTCTTGTAAAGGGCCCATCTACGGTACACATTTTAGCAAGATCACCTCATAACATGCGTTGTTTTGCCTACATAGATAGTTTTAACTCTGTGACTCTTATGGAATCCTTGAAGAGCACTGGCAGGATACAAAAAAGTACAGCCTAGTAAATGATCATAACTTGATTCTGTAACACAGATAATGCTTTTTGGATCCATTTCTATATAAGCAAAACTATGCAGTTATAAAATAATCACAGTATTGTTATTGTTATAATCCTTAGACAATATCTTCACAGTCCTACATAAACATAACCATGGCTGGATAATGGCTGGATAACCATTCTCAGAGATTAGTTATTAACGGTTCACAATCATGCTTGAAGGGCATAACAAGTGGGGTTCCGCAAGGGTTTGTTTTGGGACCAGTTCTATTCAATATCTTCATCAATGATATAGATGATGGCACAGAGAGTACGATTATTAAATTTGCAGATGATACCAAACTGGGAGGGGTTGCAAGTGCTTTGAAAGATAGGATCATAATTCAAAATGATCTGGACAAACTGGTCTAAGGTGAATAGGATGAAGTTTAATAAGGACAAATGCAAAGTTTTCCACTTAGGGAGGAACTGTCAGTTTCACACATACCGAATGGGAAGTGATTGTTTAGGAAGGAGTACTTCTGAAAGGGATGCAGAGGTCATAGTGGACCACAAGCTAAATATGATTCAACAGTGTGACAGTTTTGTAAAAAAAACCTAACATGCTTCTGGGATGCATTAACAGGAGTGTGGTGTGCAAGATACAAGAAGTAATTCTTCCACTCTATTCAACGCTGATTAGGCCGCAGTTGGAGTATTGTCTAGTTCTGGGCACCATATTTCAAAATAGATGTGAAAAATTGGAGAAGGTCTAGAGAAGAGAAACAAAAATGATTAAAGGCCTAGAAAACTTGAGCTATATGAGAAGACTGAAAGAATTGGCCGTTTTTAATTTAGAAAAGAGAAGACTGAGAGGGGACATGATAGTTGTTTTCAAGTATCTAAAAGGTAGAGGACGAAAAATTGTTCTCCTTAGCCTCTTATGCTAGTACAAGAAGCAATGGGCTTAAATTGCAGCAAGGGAGGTTTAGGTTAGCATTAGGAATAACTTCCTGTCATGGACTATGTTTACACTGCAGAGTTTTTGCGCAAAAACTCATGGAGCGTCCACACTTCAAGCGTGTTTTTGTACAAGAAAATTTACTGTAAATAAACAGAACAGAGAGGTTTTTGCAGTATAGGTATTCCTCTTTGTGCAAGAGCTCCTTTTTGTGCAAGAGCACAGGTGTTTGTGGACAGGAAACGGGTTTTTTGCGCAAAAACAGCCTATTGAAAGAAGCACAGGTGCCCTGATGGCCATTCTGTTAATGGCTATCATAGTTTTCTTGTGAGAGAGCGTCCATGTAGTCTGGACGCTCTCTTGCACAAAATATTCCCAAACAGGGTCTCTTACACCCAGAAGCCATGACAGTTTTTCAGTGGCAAAAGTGTAGGGGAATATAGGAAGCTGTTTGTGTGTTGAATAATGTCTTCCCTTTTTTTCCTTTCCAATCCACTCAAATGTTCCTTTCTGTGCTGCCGCCATCCTTCTGTCTTTAGACAGTTCTTAACTAACTCTGCCATGTTTGGCCAAGGTTCACCACTATGTAAGCACAGAACAAAAACAATCCTATATAGTCTGTGTTTTTCTTTGCATGTGTCTCAGCAGACTAACAGAAATGGAAAGTCCAGAACTTTCAAGAAGCAAGAGCTGGTTGTTAGGCTGGACAGACTAAAGGCATTAATTCATTTTTATGAGACTAAGTTTAGGTATAGTATGTTTACGATAAGATTTGATTGTAATCGTTATTTTAAAATGAGAAATTTAGTATTTTACTGACTTTAAAAAAATAAAAAATCAAATTAAATCTGATTACTTTTTATTTAAAAAAAAATCTGTTATCCACCCTGTTTGCAATAGGTGAAGTACTTTTCTGAGCACCATTGACTGAAAAAGTCATGATTTTTCTGCAGTTTTTCACTTCATACAACCTCGACTAAGATTCAGAAATGTATATTGTTTTCTTCTCTTATTTCTAGCTGAAATGGAGTAGCTGAACTATCAGACAGATCTTTGTTCTCATCATATGCTTAGGATATTAAGGTTTTGTTTTCAGTCTGATGTAAAACTTTAATCCTGTTTACTAGGAGGTGGCTTTATGACACTTTAGTTGCTAAATGAAAAAGATAATGTGGGGGAGAAAATGAAAAATGAAGTAGCAAGAACTTTTTTTAAACACAAAGGCAATGTTGTTAACATTTTTACACCGTCACGGTAGCTTGTAGGCTATACATACAAAGTCAAGGAAAACATTATTTCATGCAAAGGAAGCATCATTCTTCATTAATTTTACCATTTCCTGAACAGGGTTGTTCTCATTAGAGTATTTCCTAAGGGAAGATTGTACTGGCCATTCATAGTTGTCATTTTTGAAGAAAGTGTTTGGCAAATGGACAAGTTTCACAGTGTGCCCTAATGACAACAAGCCTCAGGCCTTCCAATCTGTAAAATTAAGCTAGAAACCTTATGAGAATCTTTGCATTTCCACTTTGGATTTCACATAGAAAAACTCCTTGAAACAGCATTTCCTGGGTCATATTTGGCCCTTATATTTCTGGTCTCTGAAGGAAACTGGGGATGGGAAGGCAAGTATTTGAATAAATTGAAAGTGCAGGTTTTTGTTTTAAACCCCCTCTTCCACAATAGATAAAGATTGAAATGGGGTACCAAGTGTTCTTATTTTATCCACAATGATCATCGGGTCTGTTGTATTCTTCACCCTGCCATGAGTCCTCTACAGTCCTGTAGGAGCTCTGAGAAGCTCTTCTTTACAACCTATTCTTTTCCTGATTTCTGCCCCAATGCCAGATGCTGTTAAGGCCTAATTGATGGAATTCCATCAGTGGTCTGTTTGTACTTTGGCTTGATCTATCACAAAGACTGTTGTTTAATGATGTTAGGCACTGTCTAAACTGCACATCTTTTAGCAATACAGCTGTGTCACTAAAAGCCGGGTAGTGTAGCTGCCATTTTTTGGCTGTTTTGCCAACAAAATATTTCCACACCTGTGAGCAGTGTTCTCATTGTTAGTAGGAGAGTACTCCTGCTTGACAGTGTGAAGTTCACACTGACACTTCACACAACAAAACTTTTGTCTTTCAGGGTTTTTTTTTTAGCACGTCTGAATAACACATTTTTGTTGTTCAATTCCCAGTGTAGACACAGCCTTAAACAAATCTGTTTCTCCTTCCTTGTCACTGCCAATTTCTGACAATCCAAGGAGCAAATTAATCAGGTCCACCTAAATAGCTATAGCCAGCTAAGATGAAAATAATTAATGCCACAGATACTACAATATTGCTGAGTTAAGAAGTGCTGTAGAACTCCTTATCTAGTTTGTCAGTATTTTCTCATGTGAGATAATACCAAATACATTCTCTCACAAAGATTGTCTGCAGTAATTGGAAATTGCTTCACTTGGTAATGGGAGGGTCTTTTGGTAGTTAATTACAAATTGGTAAAATTAGCTGAAACATTTTTTGCCATGTATCTTTAACTTCTAAGAAATTGCCTACATACCAACAGGGGATAGTACTCATTCCTATCTTTTATGTGCAAATATTAATAATTGAAATTTTCAAAGTTAATAATTTCTCTTGTCTATAGCTTTCCAGTGTTTTCTGTTTTTTTCGTTGTGTCTTTTGGGATCTGATAGAGGAAATGGTTAAACAGGAGTGGTTCCATTGAGCTTGATGGAACTACTCACTTGTATAAATATGTGTAGGATACCATCCTTATTTTTGGCTCATATAGTGTATGTATTCTCAGCTCTTAACAAATTATTCTAAGAACTGCAGTGATTGGGGGGGTTTACAGTAAAAATTTGCTCAACCTGTGCTTATCTGACCTGTGTTGAAAATTTGTTTTCTCCAGTTTAAAATGGAGTAGATTAGATTAATTTAAACATTTTAAAGGACAAAAATTGACCATATTTATGTTCAGTCACTCTAATCTCTTAGTGAAAGAACATATTTATATGCTTTCTAGGTAATATTTTATAAGATTATTAATTAATGTTCATAGAATCATAGAATAGAATAATAGAATATTAGAACTGGAAGGGATCTTGTGAGACCAGGACTGAATCCAGCCTGTTGGGACTCAGGTTCTACATAAGGTTGCCAGGTGTCCAGTATTGACCGGGACAGTCTGGTATTTTCACCTCCTGTCTGGTAAATACCGGACACCTGGCAACCCTACGACACACTCAGCAACCGGACGCCCCTCCAATCTCTTTCCCCACCCTGTTCCCCTGTTTGTGGCTGGCAAGAAAAATAAAAAAAGCCGGCAGGGCAATAGATGTTGCAAGACCAAAGAGCCCTGGAGGAGGTGGGAGAAAGGGGTGGGCATCAGTTGGGTAGCCCCCGCCTTACCCAGGGAATCCCTGGCATTATCAGGGCCAGGCAGCAGCTGGGGAGGCCCCTGGCATTAGCAGGGCCAGGTGACTAGGGAGTCTCAGCTCCAGCAGGGGAACCCCTGGCTGCAACAGGGTAATTGGGGAGACTCTGCCAGGGAACCCCACAGCTGGAGCAGGGCTGGTGGAGGTGAGCAGCCAGAATCCCCAGTAGCAGTGACGCCAGCCTTAGTGGCTGGGCAGCTGGACCTCATGATTGGGGAACCCCTGGCAGAAGCAGGGCTGGCAGTGCCAGGTAGCCCCAGCTGGGACCCACAGGGAGTACCCTGCAGCAGTGGAGCCAGCAGTGGCCAAGCAGTCCCCACTGGAACCCTGGGAGACCCTGGGGCAGTGGACAGGCAGGGTGGGGAGTTGTGCTGGGCCAGTGTTAGGGGAACCAGTGCCAGGGTCAGGGATGCCAGAGGAGCCTGGGAAAAGAGCCTGGCAGTGGGGACAGCCAGCAGGGAAGCACTGACCTCCCCTCGTCCGGGACAGCTCAGGCCATGAGAGTGCTAGACCAGGGAGGTCCAGCCTGTAGATACAGCTATATCAAGATTGTTACCTTTGTAAGGGCTGCATAACAAATGAGCTTTTATTTTTTCTGTGGAGCATTCTGACTGTACTGTATGTTTCCCTTGGTAGAATAAAACTTTTTTAAAAATGGTCTCTGTTAGGTCAAGTGCTGGAGTAGTACATTTTCTCTCTTCTCAAAATGAATCAGTTCTGTTTCTTTCCCTTTACTGGATCACTGCATGAAAAAATATGAAAGCTGATCAGCAAGAATTAGTTAAAGGTAAAAATGAGGGATGCGGGTGGGAAAGCTTCATTAGAACCAATGTAAATAATGTTTTGGACAGAGGGATGTTCCAAAGGAAAATACACTTGTTCTGGATCAGAGGGTGCTGAATTGAGAGAAATGACCTGTTTAATTTTATTGCGTTGCATTTGCTGCTGTTGTAAAAAGAGCCCATGCTACGTCAAACAAGCTCGTAGCGGTTAGGCAAGTCATGGGAAATTATCTAACATGGATATCCCTATCCAAGGAGTGCAACATTGTTGCTGGCAAAAGGGCATCCCATTTACGGAATAAAGCAAGAAATAAGTCCAATTAAAGCATGAGAAGCAAAATGTTTTCACAGTGATCCCCAGTGACATTTAACATGAAGTAAAATAAACATATTCTCAGGCTAGAGGTTTTTTTTTTAAACTTTTTCCTTTTCTCTCTTACAGTGGATGGAACTGAGATTTAACACTTTGGCAAAATGCCCACACTGCAAAAAAATGTAAGTTTCTTAAAAATACTAAGATTGTTGGAAATTAATTTAAAGTAGTTAAACTTATGTTAAATATTATTGATGGAGAACAGACTGACATACAGATATTTTACTTTCTGCACCTGAGAATACCAAGACTAAACAGCATGATGTGTGCCAGTAAAACCTTC